GCGACCTTCGCCCACCTCTCGATCGAGGTGTTCCATAAACGAAGGACTTTGGTCTTCTTTAAGGGAATCGGAGGAACATTGTGTTATGAGCATGTAAAGTATGTAGTGTTGTTGAGTGCACCAAATGGAGCTCGTATGAAATCATATTCGCAACATGTTAATGACGCTGGTAGAGACATCTTCGTATAGAAATCGATCATTTTGATAACTTCCCGTAAGAGGATTACAATGATTAAACTGCTCGAATACAGAGAAGAGTTTACACATAGTATTTTTTAAGATTAGCTACATTCCACGATCTAGCCAGCAACCTGCCTTCAACGTCCTTCAAAGAGTATGATCCTCCTGCATGTACCTTTTCGACCAAGTACGGCCCTTCCCAATTGGGTTCTAACTTTCCCACATGCTTGAGCACATCTACTCTCTTCCACACCAGGTCTCCTACTTGGAATCGGCGGATCTTCACTTTTCGATCATGTGCTGCCCTCATCCTTTGCTTGTATGCCTCAACCCTGGTCGAGGCTTGCTCTCTGAGTTCTTCGATAGTGTCTATGGCGGTCAGCATGAGTTCCTCGTTTTGCCCTTGATTATAAGTGCTCGATCGTTGGGACTGCAGTTCTAACTCAACTGGTAGAAGTGCCTCCATCCCATATACCAGGCTAAAGGGCGTTTCGCCGGTGGTCGACCTTGGAGTGGTCCTATACGCCCAGAGCACAGATGTTAGCTCGTCGACCCATGCTCCTGAAGCTTTCTCCAGCCTTATTTTTAGTCCGTTTAGGATGATCCTGTTGGTCACCTCTACCTGTCCGTTGGCCTGTGGATGTGCGACAGAAGCGAAGTGCTGCTCGATACCCATTTCCTCGCACCACGCTCTTATCCGCTTACCATTGAATTGAGTTCCATTATCAGATATCAGGATTTTAGGGACTCCAAACCGGCAGCAAATGTTATTGTACAGGAACTGGATCACTTTTTCTTCTGTAATTTTGGCCAACGGTTCAGCTTCCACCCATTTCGTAAAGTAGTCGACCGCCACAATCAAAAATTTTCGCTGCCCTGTTGCCTGCGGCATTGGTCCCACTAGGTCGATGCCCCACTGTGCAAACAGAATAGGTGCACTCATTGTAGTCATCGTCTCCGCTGGTTGGTGTATGAGCGGCCGTACTTCTGGCACTGCATACATCTCCTGGCCATTTCCTTAGCATCCGCTTTCGTTGTCGGCCAGAAGTAGCCTGCTCGTAAGATTTTTGCAATCATGGCCCCGGCTTTGCTATGATCGCCACAGCATCCCTCGTGCACCTCTCGCAGAACGTACGGACCCTCCTCTTTGGATACACACCTCAAATGTGGACCTGCATATGATCGTTTATAGAGAACCCCCCCTGCTCGAAAAACCTCCTCACCACCTTTATGGTCCCTTCCTGTAACTCCTTCTGGATTGGGGCCCTCCAGTCTTCTACCTTCTCGATCTCTGCCACCTCGGCTTCAGCCGCGCTCCTCTCCATATGAAGTAGGGTCACACTCTTACTTTTACAATCGACCAAATTCTGTGCAATTTTAGACAGCAAATCAGCTCGACCATTCTCCCCTCGAGGTATTTGTATTAATTCGAATGTCCCAAATTCTTCCTTTAACTTCTTCATATTGTCCACATGACGCTGCAGCCGATCCTCCTTGATCTCGAAGCCTTCTTGGAATTGGCCGACCACTAATTGAGAGTAGGAATGGACCTGGATTTTTCGAGCACCCCCGGCCAGAGCCAATTGTAATCCCTTTGTTACCGCTTCATACTCCGCCTCGTTGTTTGATACTCGAAATCCCATTTTGACGGCGAACTCTAAGTAATCTCCCTTGGGCAAAATCAAGACTATTCCTAAGCCAGCCCCGCTCCTCGATACCGAGCCGTCCGCGAACAACTGCCACATTCCTTCGTCATCTTCCTCCTCTTTCGTACCTTCCTGTATGAAATCGGCCAAAACCTGCGCTTTAATCGCCCTCCTTGTTTCATATACTATAGAGTACTCGCTCAGCTCGACCGCCCACTTTACTAGTCGGCCAGACACTGCTGGTCGACCTAAAGTCTGTTCCAGCGGCATGTTTGTGCGCACCCTTACTTTGTGGTTAAGGAAGTATGGCCTCAGCTTTCGGACTGTCATGACCACCGCCAATGCACACTTCTCAATTTCCGAGTATCTCAGCTCTGCTCCCTGCATTACCCGACTAACATAATATATTGGGAATTGTGCTACTCCCTCCTCTCGCAATAACACCGAGCTTACTGCGCTCTCGCCCACCGAGATGTAGAGCACAAGTTCCTCTCCATGAATTGGTTTGGCCAGTAAGGGTAAGTTAGCCAACATTTCTCGCAGCTCCTCGAAGGCCTTCTGGGCTTCCTCCGTCCACTGAAACTTCAAGCTCTTTTTCAGGGTTCTGAACAGAGGGCTGCTCTTCTCGGCCACCTTGGAGATGAATCTGCTTAGGCCCGCTATTCGACCAGTTAGTATTTGGACCTCCTTCACATTAGCCGGTGGCTTCATTTCGATCACAGCTTTTACTTTTTCAAGATTCACCTCTATTCCTCGTTTTGTCACCATGTACCCCAAGAACTTTCCCGACTTTACTCCGAACGAGCACTTAGCCGGGTTGAGCTTCATGCCAAACCTCCTTAGTGTCTGGAAAGTCTCCCTCAGGTCAGCCACGTGGTCGTCCTCCATTTTTCTTTTCACCAGAATGTTGTCAACATACACCTCCATATTCCTCCCTAACTGGTCTTTGAAAATTTGGTCGACCAGACGTTGGTAAGTGGCCCCGGCATTCTTTAGTCCGAATGGCATGACTACGTAGCAATAAGTGCCTTTGCTTGTTATGAAACTCACCCTCTTCCAGTCTTCTTTCGCCAAGGGGATCTGATGATACCCCTGGGAAGCGTCCATCAGGCTAAGCAACTCGCACCCCGCCGTGGAGTCTACCAGCTGGTCGATCCTTGGCAGCGGATATAGATCTTTCGGGCAAGCCTTGTTTAGATCACGGAAATCGATGCACATCCTCCACTTTCCTCCCGATTTGGATACCATTACTGTGTTGGATAACCACTCAGGGAACTGAATCCTTTTAATGTGCCCAGCGTTCATCAGCTTGTCGACCTCCTGCTCGATGATTTTGTCCATCTCCGCACCATGATGCCTTCTCTTTTGCTTCACCGGCCTCACACTGAGATCAATATTAAGTATGTGCTCGATCACCCTGGCCTCGATCCCTGTTAGCTCATCCGTTGTATATGCGAAAATGTCTGTAAATTCCCTTATTAAATTGATCAGCTTCGACCTGATCGGCTCTCCCAAATCTTTTCCAATCCTGAATTTTCGGTCATCGCATCCCTGCACCATTTGAATTTCCTCAATCTCCTCTCTGGGCTGTATGTCTATCTTTTCCTTCCCCTTATCTTGTCCTCCTCTCTCCTCTTTCGCTCGTGATCCTCCTGGTCGATCAGGCCTCACCTCCTTGCCTTTCAACTGCCTTTCTGCCATCTGTTTGTTGTTACTGACTGTGGTTTGATAGCAACTCCTCGACGTGAGTTGGTCCCCCGCAATCTCGCCTACATTTTCCCCCACAGGATATTTGATCGTCATGTGGTAGGTAGACACGACTGCTTGGAACGCATTTAAACCTGTTCGCCCTAAAATGATATTGTAAGACGATTCTGCTCCGACCACCACAAACCGGATCATTCTCACTTTCCTCGAGTCGCCCAACCCCAATGCTACAGTCAGGCTCACTTCTCCCATTGGCATTACCTCTCTCCCGTTAAACCCGTATAAAGCTGTCGCCACCGGCTTCAATTCCAGATTCAGGTGTTTGTTGATCTGTGCAAAACAATCGTAGAACATCACGTCGACCGAACTCCCCGTGTCGATGAACACTCTTTTCACATCGAAACCTGCCACTTCGGCTGTGATGACCAGTGCGTCATTGTGAGGTAACAAGATTCCTTCCGCGTCTTCTGCTCGAAAGCTTATCACAGGCATCCGACCAGTTATCCCGACTTCCTCTCTTTCACGCTTCACCGCCCGCACATGCCCCTTTCGTGCATTATTTGAATCTCCATCCGTTGGTCCTCCTGAGATCATGTAAATCGTGCCCCTCTTCACAGGCACCTCCTCTCTCAGCTCCTCTCGACCATCATTTTGTCGCCTCTTTCCCTCTCTCCTGGCATCGTTTTCTCCATCGTCGTCCCTATCACTCCTCGCCATAGAATTTTCCCTCCATCTTCTCCTTTCTTTACCCCGTGGTCGATCGCGAATGACAAATTCTTTCAAGTGCCCTGCCCGTATGAGGCGCTCGATCTCGTCTTTCAAGTGCCTACAATCCTCTGTGTTATGACCGTAGTCCCTATGAAATCTGCAGTATTTATTTGACCTAGGTTTGGTCGGTCCCTCAAACCTGGTCGCTGGCCAGGTAACTTCCTTGCTTTCCAACTTCTCCTCTATGGCCGCCAAGACTTCGCCCATCTGGGCGTTGATAGGAGTAAAATGATTATATCTCTGACCGTTTGGTAGCCGAGGTCGCCCCTGCCAGCGGTCTTCTCGCCTTTCTCAGAACGAATTTCGCCCCTCCCTCCTGGGCGACGACCTCTTAAAAGATCCTCCTCTCGGGGAATTTTTCCTAGGCGATCCCCTCCTGGGCGAGCTCGTCTTTCCTTTTTTCTGCTCAGGTTTCACAACGTCCTCAAGCTTGGCGAACTCTGCTTCTGTTTCTTCCAAGTTAATGTATTTCTTGCATCTCTTGAGCACCTCATCGTAAGTTCGAGCAGGCGTCTTTGCCAGCGACGTTCGACATGGTCCTGGCCGTAGACTTCTAATAAATCCTCCTGCTTTCACCTCGTCACCCGCCGTGGGCACCTCCAGACACACCTGATTATATCGAGCAACATATTTCTGTAAGGATTATTTCTCGCCTTGTCTCATTGCCATCAATGTAAGGAATGTCTTCTCCTGGGCGACCGCACTTGAGTATTGATTAGTAAGTTGTCCTGCGAAGTCCTCAAAGTCTCTGATCGAGCCCGGAGTCAATTGGTGGAACCAGTCAAGCGCACCTCCTCGTAAGGTCGACAAGAAGGCCCTGCAGTTGACCGGATCTGAGTATCCATGTAAGACGGACATGTTTTCGAATGCTCTCACGTGCCTCGACGGGTCACTCGATCCATCGAAAATCAGGTTTATCTCCCGAAAACTTGCAGGTAATGGCGCAGCTAGAATTTCCCTCGAGAATGGGTGTCCTCGAGCACGTCTTTCTGGCCTCCCTTCCACCTTCTCCTGCAATTGCCTAAGCTGTTCGACCATCCTCTCCATAGCTCTATCTCTATACTCGCCTCCTCCGCCATAACTCGACACGTCCTCATCTTGTGTTCCCTGCACCGTTGTCGGCGCAGTGGCAGCCTGGGATGTCTGGTGAGTGGCTTGCTGCACAGCCTGAGCCGCCGCGTCGGCCACCATCCTCTGCACTTTTTCTCTCGTCATGGCCACCACTTGTTGAGCAGGGGGTTGTGGTGCTCCTCCTGTTGGTGGCATCATGGTTTGCACTGTTGGCCCTACTTGCTGCGTCACGACCGGGCCCGCTTGCAACGGAGCGGGGACTGCCGTGGGTACCGCTTCATGAGCTTCGTGCTCTCTGCTCGTGCCTGCTCCTCCTCCCAAGATCGTTGTACCCTGGGGCATCGGCGTCGGGGTCACCGGTGTTTGCGAGGGTCCAGAGAATCTAGGTGGAGGTCCTGCTCCCATCGGTCTTGTCGTCGTCCACGCCTCGTCAAATGAAGATTGCAAATTCACTCGAGGAACTCCGTCCGCCATAGCTGAGCTCAGAACACAACTTTTCGAACAAGAGTCCCACAGACGGCGCCAATAATACAAGTCTCGCACCCTGCCCGGCTGGAATTCGCCTCAAGCTCGCTCTCCTCGCCGGTTGAACGCGGAACCTGCACGAAACTCTCACACCGGAGGTGTTTTCCGGTGAAGAGCCTCCAACGCTCAAGTCAGATCTTGAGAGATGATACCAGTGTATAGAAAAATGTAAGAGTATGTGAGATTGTACCGAAAATGAGGATTTGCGCCCTTATTTATAAGGGCGAATTACCTGAGTTGCACGCGCGAGCCAGGTGCGTTCGGCCAATTGTCTTCTGCTCGTCCGTACGATCGCGCGCCTCCACTATCCGCCGTGTCAGAAAACGCGTCACCTTTGTCAGAGAATGTCAGAGTTGGTTACGGCTGTTGACCACTCATAATGCGCCGCGTGTCCTCCTCCTTATGTGCTGGAGATTCCTTTATGTGCCCCGATGCTCTACCAGTTATGTATGCCTGTGTCTCCTCGATCGTCCTCCCTCGACCATATCCTCAGATGACTTGTATCTGTCGACCACCTCTGCTTTCCTTAACTGTCGTTATCTACTCGATGTTCTAGCGGCCGGTATCTGGTCCTACTCAACCATGCCATTCGATCTTATTCCCACTAGATAGTCCAGCAAACCGATCGGTCTTCTTTGATTAGCCCTATAAACCGGTCCAGTATATAATATCCCATATCAACCTCTTATTTTTAATATACGTCGTTTTGAGAAATTGCACATTAATTGAAAATATTTTTTTTGTCAATAATAACCTTATTTATTGAAAATAAAGATAGAATGTTTTGAGAAAAAGTGAAGAGTAAATATGCAAAGACGTAATGTATTTATGAGCTAAATGGGGGTAATAATGAAAAAATATGTACAAAAGATCCAAAACGACATTTATTTAGTTAATAGTTGATAAAGCTAGAATGACATTTAAAAAAAAATAGGGGGAGTATTAACTAATAACTATAAATTAAATATAAGGGTATGCAATATTAACTATTAATTATAAATTAAGGTCTGGAGTTAACACGTGACATAGTTTATCGTATATCAGTTGTACACAATATAAAATTGTCTTATATAAAATAACATAAAAAAATTGTATGTTTAAAATATTAAAATCATCTAAAATATTATACAACGTATGCAAAGTATCTAATATTTTATATATCATTGAAAGATGTGGAATCACCTAAAATTTGTTTAAACTATTTTGTAAAGAAAACATGCCTAAAACTATTTAACAAAATCTTGCCTACAATATATTATTCATTTTCCAAAAGATGATGATAAGTATGAGTAGACTTGGCCAAAACACAGCCCGACCCGGCCCGCCGGACCTCCGGGCTCAAAAAAAGGGACCCGGACCCAGCACAGACCTATGCTCGTGCCGTTTCAATGGCCCGGTTAACTGTGATGGGTCGTGCCGGGTCAGAACCGAGTTGATATTTCTTAAAAAAAAAATATTGAATATTGTTAAAAAAATAAAAAAATAGGACTGGGCCCGCCCCGCCAGCAGAGTCATGAAAGAATGACCCTAAAAAGTCCCATAGAAATCCGGTACGAGATCGGACCCGTGGTCAACGGGTTTGACCAGGTTGGGTCGGCATGTCTAAGTATAAGTTTGAATTTTAGAATCCACTTAAGCATTAATTTTGAGATCCTTGTATTATTCAAATTACTAATTATGTTCATTTCTTGTGAACTTTATAATTATTTATTGATTTTATTTTATTTCAATACAAAGTTGATCGTCTCATTTTGTTTTACCATATTTTCGTGGAGATTTAACAAAGACAGTTGCATTTATAAAATGATTTGGATATCAACATCCAATTTACAATGAGGTTTTCAAAATTGTGTACTAATAACAAATAATCTATTATATTTTTTTTTTTAAAAATGCACAACTACTGAGACTGAGAATATAAAAATTATTTTACCTTTTAAAACCGAGTTTAGAAAAAAACAATAGATTGGTAAACAAAGAAGTGATAAACATTACCAAGTTTATTATAACACTTTCCAAATAAAAAAATTGTGATGATTAGTGGAAAATGATATTTGAAGAATAGCGTTCACTATTTTTGTTTGAAAGGCACAAATATAAAGACCCATATTTTAAAACTTTTATTACTTTATGAATTGATATTTTATAAATATGGAAGACTGATATTGTAATGTTGTTTGTGTGTTTCTAAGAAAAAAAAAAGACACTTATAGATCTTAGCTGGAATTTTAAATAATAAAGTGAATTAAAACTCGAAATTTAATGCAACATTTAATGTTGTATGATTTCTAAAGATAAAAATAAAAAAAATAATAAAACTTACTATTTATAGATCGCATTAAATTATCTCCTATATTTTTGCTACTATTTTTGGTAAATGATAATTCTTATTATATATATACTAGTCTGTATCCCGTGCGATGCACGGGTAAATAATATTAAATAATAATTATATATAGGTCTCGAATTCGAGTCACCCAATAAAAGAAGTGGAAAACCATCATTTGTAAAAGAGCAAGAAAAAAATATTATAAGTTAGCAAGAAAAAATATTATAAGTTAAAGATGAGAGTAAAAAAAATAAAGATGTGGGGTTAACATGTTATATAATTTACCGTATATCAGTTTATATAACCCATTTAAAATTATCTAAAATTAGCTTGTCCAAGAACATAAAATTTGTAAGTTTAAAATATTACAAACACCCTAAATATTATATTAACATATGTAGAAATATCTAAAAAAATTTATATTATTACTAAAAGACGTGAAGTCACCTACAACTTTTTTAAACTATTTTGAAAATAAAACATGTCTAAAAACATTAACTTTCACTATATAAAACAAATATTGACATTATTATGACGGTACTTGAAATTTTGAGTACAGAAAATTTCAAAATTATTATTATTTTTTAAGTATTTTGAGTACAAAAGATTTAAAAAATATCATATTTTTTAATTCCCGTAAAAAAAAATTGTACGCATACAATTACCACGCTATAGGTAGATTTATCAATTTGACAAATAAAATGGTATTTATTTTATTAAGACAAAATTGTTACCTCACAAATTGTACGACATAACAAATCCACACATAATGCACATTTATATCCACAGAGATTAATGCAAGCTGTAACACATAAAATCAGATTTTATATAACTGAAATTAAGACAAAAACTGAAGACGATATTTAATTATGCATTGTTAAAAAAATATATAAAGGATTTATGTTTCTAATGAGACATTAGAGTGTGTTACCTTTTTTTTCTTAAAAAAAAACATTACTTACCGAGATTTATGTGATCGGATTTTGTAAGCTTAGACTGAGATTTTTGTGCGGGATTTTGTAAGATGAGATTTTCTACGATAGTATTTTATAATTTTTAAAACTTATCGACTTATTGAACAATTTCCACAATGACAACTTTATTCTGTAATTGAATAAATTCCACATATTTTGGGATGCATTCAATGATTTGATTTTATGTTAGCAAAAAAGTAACAAATTCCACATTTCAAGGAATGCTGCCCCTTTTTAAGTAAAAAAAAAAACAACAAAAAAAATTACCATAAATGACATGTAATTAATAATAGGAGAGTTTGACCAAAATTTGACTTAATATTTTTGAATGTATAAAAATATCTTGATGAGTATTTAACTTCGTACAATCAAGAGAAGATTCATTTTACTTACTAAAAACTGTTGTAAATATTAAGTTGTGAACATTACCTAGATATAGGATTTGTAGGCATGGGCCAGGAGCCCATTAGGTATTTACTCATGTACATTATATTCCCTTATATATATGACTCAAGTGAATGAATAAGATGATGGTTTTAACGGCGTATCTCTTCTCTCTTATTCTCTTCTTCTTCTACTTTTTCTATCTTTGTCTATTTTACACATAGATTTTACATATTGTCAATCTATATTACAACACGTTATCAGCACGAGTACTCTACCATCTAAGCGAATAGTGGTGGCATCAAGACGAAGGGGCAGTCAAGGTAATATTCAAGATCTATTCAACTTCAATAATTATTTTGCCATATAAAAGAGTAGAATTTCGTTTCGGTTTTATTGCAATTCTGTTTTCGCCTGCTGCAAAGGTTGGATTGAATTAATTGTGAGATAAAATCACCACAATTTAATAAGCCGAAACATTGTAAAAGATTAATTGTGAGATAAACATCTTTTGTAAGTGATTTTCACCACTCTATATTTTTTGCACGATGGGTATCTGCACAATTTAAATTAATTGTGGAAAAATCTCACTTTACTATATTTCCGTTTCGTGAATTATTTGTGAGACATGAATTGATGTTGTAATTGGATTGGGAAATAAAGCTACAGTTATTATTTATTTACCTTTTGTTTGACTGCCACAAATTGATATTATTATTTGCTGAATGTGGCCAACAATTGGATTCTGCAACTGAATTCTTGAAATTATTTACTAAAAAACTTATATCTTTGTTCATGAAAAGCTAATTATGAGGCCGGCCAGATTTTAGAATAACTGAGATTTATATTCGAATGATATTTTCTGAAGGCTAATTGCAGAGATTAATTAAAATGTGAATTAATATTGCCGCTCAGATGTCGATTACATATACACGAGTATGGGAAATTATTTGAGCACCCAATTACTGCTTTGATTGATTCTTATCAAATTGCGTACTTGGAACTGTGTGCATATT